GTTGAAATTAAATCCATCATTATGCTTGATAACCAATGTCACACCTCTAAACTTGCACATAAGATACAAACGATTGTCCATCACTATAAATCCTGTTACAAACAACAATTGTATTTCAGCAAACAACTCAAACACCCTAAAACAAAATCTAATACAGTGATAAAATTATCAACCAACTCAAACACATCTAAAAACCAACACTGATAAATTTAACAGTTAACACTACCAAAGATTGAGAGCATGAACAGTGAATACGGCTTACACTTATTGGACATGATAACTCGATTTGAATCTTACTATTACATTATGCAACTTTTTTATCTCCTAAAACAATTTGTAACCCAAAAAAAAAAAAAAAAATATCTAAAATTCTTTACATATACATGTCACAAAGCTTTCAATATCATAATCAAAATACAAATTCAATTGTAGAAACAACAGAATAACAACAATATCACAAAATCACCAACTCAAACTAAAAAATACCAAAACATCGAAATTGAAATCAAAATCAAACATACCAGTCGAGCTCCCTCCACAAAATTGCAAATCACAAAATGTAACTATACACCAAACGCAAAATCGCAAAATAGAAAGATTCACCAAGCGCAAAATCACAAATTACAAAGATACACCAAGCGCGAAATCACAAATCACGAAGCTCCACAATAATGTATTAGCAAATTGTGAAGTTCCACATAAATCCAAATCACAAACCCATACTCACAACACAAATTTTGATGGCAAAAATCAAACAGAAATGCGCCAAAACAGGGGAGGGGTAAAACGGTACCAAGAAAAAAAGGCTCAGGACCTGTTGGTGCACAAGAGCAAAATACAGGACTAAGAGGGAAATAATTATAAAAGGTAGGACCGGCCAGTAAAAACCCTAATAATAAAACAAATTAAAGTTAGACTATTAGGCCATTTTAAAGGAAATCTGGTTCAACTCAAATAGAAGCCCAAGCTGAAATCTATTTTAGCTCAACCCCAAAACAGTTGACCTTTCAATGGGTCATTTCTTTGGAACTGGGCTATTATGAAACCAATTAAATCTAATCCTTTTAATTCAAACCAAAATGCATTCACCAAAGCGTTGCTATTAGCAATCTATCAATTATTTTAGATCTCTTCAATTTTTTTAGATTCCTTTTTATAAATTCTAAAACTCTTAAAATTTATTTTCCCCCTAAATAATACCAAAATTATCATTATAACAACGTTCTACTCATTTAAATGCATACCTTTACACCTCCAAAAAGTCTCTCTCCCAAAATCCTAAAAAAACCCATGATAGTGGAACCTTCCAAAATTAGTGAAAAAAATTTGTGGTGATTAAGAAATTTTTTCTCTACTTCATTACGAGGTTTGTCAATTTGTTTGATTTTTTTTTTCTATTACATCTTTTTATACACAACACAATCTATTTTCATGCTTCTCTAGTTGATTTTCTACGATTCATCCATGGTCACACTGTACTTGTATGCTCTCTGTATGAGCAAAACTGGATAGGATTTCACTCCCTGATTAACCTCCCAGTCAACAAACAGGTCGACCATCCAAGAGTGGTCCGACCTCCTTTGTTTGCCTGCTTTTGCTCCTACTTCGGTTATTTGTTCCTGTAACAACCCCGACCTCTGATTAACGTTAATCCATACTTAATTATGCCTAATTAGTAATTATGGGAGAATTTTGAATGAATTTGCATGTGTGTGTTGCATAAATTATGTTTATATCTGTTTAATGTAGAAAGACCTGTTCACGTTTTGGTTTCAATTTGCGAATTGGAAGCCTTATCGGCAACCGATCCAGGAATTGATTTGATTTATATGCTAATTAGGATTTATAGAATTTTATGGTGGGTTTAATTAAAATTTGGTTCGGAATGATTAAATTAGGTTAAATTAATGTCCACTAAGTAGCCTTAATTAAACACATTTTGTTTTTAAGCCTAATCAAGGCATTAGTGGCTTCATAGAACACACATGCTTTCTCCACTCACCCTTTTCTTCATCACACATACACCTTTGAGTTCCCTAAGACCTAAAAACGTGAGAAGGAGAGAGAGAATTCAAAATTTGTGAATTTGATGAGACTTGAGCTCAATTAAGAGTGAATTGTGGGAATTTTGAGAGAAGGTCTAGAAGTGCTCAACCTTGGAGGAAGTTTGACTTCAACATTTGCTAGCTCAAGACTTAAGGTCCACCCTTTTAATTTGGTAATTGAGTTAATTCATCCTTGAAATCAAGTAAATTGAGCTATGAGGTGTAAGAATCAAGCTTAAGAAGGGAATAGGAAATCATACTATGCATACATGTGCATTTCATGGAATTTTGAAGTTGTTCTCAAAGAATTCTCACTTGCATGTGTTCATCTTAACTTAGTTTTGTGAATTCATCACAGTTCTTAACATTTTATCTCAATTGATCATGTTTTGGAAGAAATTAAATCATGTCACTTCTTGCATGTGTTTTAACTCAAGATTCAAGCTACGTTTTGCACAATTAACTTATCCTTGGACTTCAATTTTGTGGAATGATCTTTAATTCATAATGTATTACAAGTTTACAAGTGTTTTCTTAAGATTTCAGGCCCAAAGAATGTGTTTTGAAGCTTTACACTTGAGTTTTACATCTTGCACTTCAATCTGGAAGTTCCAGAATTTGGAGTCACGCTCGAGCGAAAGAGTTCACGCTCGAGCGAGCACTCTGAATGCATGCACTTCCGCTCGAGCGACGTGATTCCCACTCGAGGTTGAAATTCACATATCCAGAAGTTCATATGTTTTGCAGTCCGCTCGAGCGAGGGACTTCATGCTCGAGCAAAGGTCTGTGCCTCACGCTCGAGCGGAGGTCGAGCGTCCGTCGAGCATGAAATTTATGCATCCAGCACTTTTGTTAAAATTACAGTCTGCTCGAGTGAGTGAATTCACACTCGAGTGAACCTTCACTTCTTGCATGTCCGCTCGAGCGAGGAAAGCCACGCTCGAGCGTAAACGCTGTTTTTAGCAAGTTTTGGAAAATCTTTTCAAGTGCACTTTTGTATCCTCATTCCATCCCAGGAATTCCTAGGCCATGAATAAGACTCCATAATGAGGTTAAAGACTAGAAACACACTAAGAACAAATAAAGTAAGTATGTACGTTTTGAACGTGTGTTTTAAGTGTGCGTTTGTTATATGTTCATGTAGGTCGCGTGCCATAACCGTTGATTGGTCTGCTCTGTCTGTCTGCACCTGAAGCCAACTGTGAGTAATAACTTAGTAAAGCTATGTTCAAATTTATTTATTTTCTGTATGATGAATTAAGATCTGTTTTCTGAAATGATATGTTCTGTACAATGAATGATTGTCCAATTTTTGATAATGTATTTGTGGCCTCCTTAGCACCATGTGATATCTGTTAGTTGTTACACGGTATCGGAGGTTCTATTATGGAACTTAATATGTTTGCACTCTATTACCCGTACCGGAGGCTCCATCATGGAGCTCAGCATGTTTATTCTCTGTTACTCGGATCTGGAGGTTCCTTTATGGAACTAGTTATTCATAACCACCATGTGTCTGCATCTGTTCTGTATCTGTTCTGTTAGCACTAAGGGATGTACCATGTATGATTAAGCATGAAACATGATTATGAATCCGCTATGAAACTGAATTATGATTTTCTGAATCTGTATGGACTACATTCATTAAAACCCCTTTACTCCGTTATTAGTCACTGGGCTTCCGCTCACTGTTTATATTATGTATGTAGGTGAGCCAGCACGTGATCAGGGCCAGAGTTGACGACCCACGTTTCTATTTTGTCAGCCAACCTTTGCGCCTCCCAAGGAGGTTCCTGATGAAGTCAAATTTTGTGGCTGTTTTTGTAATCTGTATTAGACAATGTTTGTTCTGTGAAGTTGTGGGCAGAATTTTATCATGTTCGCCTAAGTGTGTTATGTAAATATTATGTTTGTTGATTTCACTCGTAGTTATGAAAGTTTCAAGTTATTCTGTCCCATGTATGTCGCCATAGCTCATTGGACCTTGTATATTTTGTATATTTGCTTCTGCAGCCCCTATATATGTGTTAGTCTGTCAAGAGGCCTTTGGTAATCCAAGGATTACTGGCCGGTTGCGATGCAAAACCTATAGGGACGGGTTTCGGTCGTGACAGTTCCTGAACATATAAAAAATGTTCGGTTACCTATTCCTGAACAAATAAACAATGTTTAGACTTGTGTTCCCAAATTTTGATCATATGTTCGAGAGTTCAGTCTCGAAAAAATAACGAATTTTTTTTAATTATTTTTGTAATTTTTTTCAAGAAACTTACTCTTACAAGGTCAATATCCTCTGAACTAAGATCACTATCAAAGTTCTGAACCTCTTCTGAGCTTTTATTGTTATACTCCTCTCATTTTATGGAATTGTAGTTACCGAAAAAACTTTCACTCATTGTCATTGTTGGAGAAGTGTTTGTAATCAAATGGTTGCCACCGTTACTGTATGAATATTGCCGCCAAAGAGTTTTCAAGGTTTTGAGGGTGGATAGGTTTTGAAGATGAGATTTGGAGATGATGGATGGATGGTGATGGAGGTGGGTGGTCTCATAAATCCTAACTCATGATGTAGTGAGTGTGTGGACTTAATTGTGAGATGGAATGTTTCAAAATTTTTAATGTCATTTTTAGTAATTTCATTTGAGATTATTATTGTAATAAAAAAAATCTAAAAATGAAGTGTCTAACATAATTGATGGAGTACTAATAATAGTACCCATTAACTATTAATTAATTAATTAAAAGGATAAGGAAGTTAAAAAAATTACAATCACTACAACAAAATTTGCCTATTACCACGTTTTTTAGGCAATGTTTTTCTGAAAAACGCTGTGAAAGACCTAAAGTGAAATTAAGACACGCGTGTTGCACCTTATAACGGTGCTCCGTCTCCTTTGTCCTCATTTCTCTTTCCGTCATATTGTTTTCTCTCTCCATTTCTCTGTATCGTTTTCTCTCTCTGTCCTACATCTAGGGTTTTCTCTGTCTCCTCATGCCCCTTGAGAGGTTCACCAGGGTTGATTCCGATCACTTGTTCAGATCTAATTCTAAATCCATCGATTCTTGCATCAATTTGATTGAAATTTCTTGATGGTTTTTTTTTTGTTTTCCTTGATTCTGATTCTAATGATTTTGCAGAGGAAGATGGTTCGGTTAAGTTGCACATATCTGCGGGGTTACGAGACCGAGGAGTGAAGAAGGATCAAGATCATCGGGATTGAGACAGGGACTGAGACCGATCGAGTCGGAGCAAGAGGAAACCAGCTGATGAAATGATAGGCTGTTCCAAGAAAGCTCGAGCGCGATGGCGTTGGATGCGCTCTACCTGTTGAAGCTCCTCCTCAGGTCTGGCCCTCCCGTCGCTACCATCCCTCAGGTCTTCTCTCTCTCTCTCTCTCTCTCTCTCTCTCTCTCTCTATTGCTCAATCAGATCTTCGATCTGGCCTCTCTGCAGTGGAATTTTTTTTTTAATCTTTTCACTTGCTATTTTTGGTCTGCTGTCTTTTCAATAAAATCACATTCACTTTGATCTTTTTGCTTTTATAACTTCCAACTATTATCATCTGAAGAACATCTCTGGTATCAATGATTTACTAATATTTATGACTTTACTGTATTGATGCATACTCAAACCCAAGTTCAATTAGGCACACGAAGACATTGATGGTTGATCGGGATTTAAGTGTCAAATTTTGGTTATAGTTGAGAATTTCCTGTAATTTTTTTTCATGTTGATGTATTTAGATTCAAAATCAGCTAAGAGTCTATTTTCATAATTTTCATTTGGTCTCTAATATTTACATAAAATTGACTCCAATTGCAAGCTTAAATATCATATTTGTTAATAGTTTAAATCAAATTGGGATGTGTAATACTTCTTTGCAGTAATTATGAAGGATGCTTGTTTTTGTTTGAGGGGAATTTAGATCCATCTCATAATGCTAGTAGTATTTATGAAGTTGACAATTTTGTAGAATTATATAATTGAGAGAGAGAATGTTGGGAGGAGGTACACAGAAAATCGTGTTCTTCTCGTAAGAGAACTGAATTAGGTTCTTCAAGATATATGGATGGTCAAGTTCGATTTTCTGGAATTTTTACCCAAGTATTGTCACAAAATCTTGGTAATCATGCTAAGTAGATTCCCATGACTTGCTATTGAAAATTTTGTAATTGGCATGCCTTGTGTTCTTTTCCTTGTTAATAAATTTTCATATTCCTGTAGTCCTCTCTCTCTCTCTCTCAAACAAAATTGTGAAAATTTTGAATCCTTACACATTGATGTTTACAAGTGCTGAACTTATTCACATATAGTTTTCAATTGTTCTGGTGTGACAATAGTATATCATGGTTAAGTGTGCTTTTCTCATCTATGTATGAATGCTGGCGATCATACATCTATATATGCAGCATCTATGCTTGTGTGGATATATCTACATATTCATATTTGTATCTATGTACATATGCATGCAAGGCCTATTCATTTTATGTACCACTGAAAATGTTATGAATACCGCGCAGCTGAAAATTTGAAAACTTATCCTTCTTAAGCACACAAGATTTGTAAGGTGGAATAAAAAACTAGCATGAGTCTTGGTATTTTGCTGCCTCATTTTAGTATTTTGCGAAGAGTAAAAAACAAAGAATACCCCTACTGATGTTTGCAGCAATTTATCATCAATTTTGCTTTCATATGGACAGATATTGGCCAACAATAGTTTCTTCCTGAACTGCAATAACCTAACCATTGTAGCTGGTTCTTATGAAATCTTGTTTATTGTTGGAACATGTCATATTCTGGTTGGACTTTCATTTTGCCACTGTTGAATTAAGAACTCACAAAATGACAGCATTTGCGGGGGCCCACATAATAGAAGAATTTCTAGCTTTCTACTTCATATATCCTTTAATCCTTAGGCCCCATAACCATATAGATACAAGGTGTTGTTCACCCCTCTCAGAGTTAAGTATTTAATTGTCAGTATTTCTTTTTTAAGCCTTTGAATTCTTGTTTTTCATGTTAGTTAGATATGATCAATGCTTGCTTTAGGATTTGGTTAGGCATCTACACTCTTATTCTTATTTAATCAACAAAGGACTTTTATTGGATCATTTTGGGTATCTTCAGATTTCTTTAACTGGAACAAAGTCAAGATACGCTATTGTGATGGTGCATCTTTTGCTGGGCACCCTGAAAGTGAGTTTAAGGCAAGTCCAGTGGATGTTTTTCAGCTTGGTCAGGAATTATGCAAATTCTATTTTTTACATGTAGTGTGTGTGCATGTGTGTGTGTGTGAGAGAGAGAGAGAGAGAGAGAGAGAGAGAGAGAGATTTGACTAGTTATGTCATCTCTTCATCTTTTCTCTATAGAATGGAACAGAACTATTCTTCAGGGGTCAGCTTATTTGGGAAACACTTATGGATGAGCTCTTGTCAATTGGATTGTCTAATGCTAGACAGGTATTGTTCTTAATTTTATAATAAAATTACTTTTTTTTTGGGGTTAAATTAGAGAAGTTGATAAAACATTATTCATAATTAAGCTTGTAGATGACTAATTCCTTATTCAATGGTCATTATTTGTGGGAACATAGTAACAGATTTCTTCCTTACTGTTATTTAAGGTGAAAAAGCGAACTGAGACAAGAAGACCTCCTAAGGAAGTGCAAAGTGATGGCTTCATCGAAGCGAGCTGGACACTAAGGAAATTGTAAAAAATAAATAAATAACATAGACAAAATCTCAATAATTCCCAAAAGTATGATGCATTTAACATTTCAAATAATAAATATCCATCAAAAGCATAAAACATCCAATAAAATCCGACATTCCAAATACTAATATCTCACATAAATTTAAGATATCCAACAACAAAAATCTTAAGAAAAATTTCATTTCAGTTGAGATTTTTTTTTTTTCCTCCTTTCCATTTAATTAAAAATCGAAACAACAAAATTTCCAAATAAAATAATAATAATATCAACAACTCCATACTATTTCACAACGCATTTTTTAATAGCCACTTTATTGCCATAATTCTAAGGCTCACAATAGCTGCTATTTTTTTTTCTTCTGTTTTTCCGTATATGAAATTGATTACAAGATATCGCCTAAAAGACAACCAAGTAGTGCTACATACTTTATCCATCTAGAAAAATAAAAAGAAAACTACAATACTTTAGACTATGAAGCATGGGCATTTCGATAAACATGCCATACTTGTACCAACCAAGTTGACTATGAAGCATGGGTACAAATCATGTTGAGCGCCCAGCGAAAGAAAAACACATAAGAGGTTGGTAATTTCTATCGAGATCGAGATGGTTTTTTGTTTTTTTGTTTTTTGATGGGCTTGCTCCTTTGTTCATATTTGTTCCGTTCTGTGCTTATCAATTTTTAATATGCCTTAAAATGGGTTGTGATGGACAATTTTTGTTTTCCCTTGCAGCTATTTTTGCTGCTATTTCAGCTACGAGGCCTCGAGTGGATGTAGCTTATTGCATACATGCTTTGGCTAGACAATTATCAAAGACAAAATTGGCGGTATGTGTTGAGGAAAATCATAGTTTTATAATGGAAACTTATCGTATGGAGCACATTTTTGTGCTAACGTAACTGCAACTAATCAAAGTTACAATTTAAAGTGCTTTCAGGGTATAATCTAAGAAATATATAGTGATCGTCAGATTTATAAATGCATGCAATATTTCTTTATGTTTAAGTGAATAAGATTTAACGAGTGGAGAGTAAGTTGAAGTAACACTTCTTCTATTTTATGCTTTTTAGTATTTTTTCCTCACTCAAGTACTAGTGCCAAGTATTTTAAGATGTGGGACAAATTGAATATATGAAATATAATATTATTTTTATTAAAATATCTTAACGGTTTTTTTTTTGTTGTTGTTTGCAGTGGAGTATATGAGTTTGCTTGCGAGTCAGTACTCTGTGTTGGATGCAGGGAGTATTGAGAGAGTTGACAATAGCACCTTCAGCTGTTACATATACAATTTCAAGTTCTTTGCTTTTGAAGTGTGCCCTGTTTTGTTGGTTAGAGTTGAAGAGGAACCAAATGGTTTTTGTATCAAGCTTTTGTCCTGCAAGGTTAATGATTTTGCTCTGTTTTTTGTGTTCAAACTTCAATGTTATGTGTCCTTTTCTCCTAATGATTACTTTGTTTTTTTGTTTTTGTGTTTTTTTCCCTTGCATTTTGTTTATGGCAGCTTGAAGGTTCACCAATTGTGGTTGCACAGAATGAGAAGATTGATGGTAAGAAGTTCATTCAAATTCTCTTTGTTTGTTGCAAAATGGTACAATTAGATTGTATAAGCAATGACTGGATTAGACAGTAATGTTTGATCTACTTTGATAGGATTTTTGTTTGTAGTGGGGTTTAATCTGCTTCAGTCTGATCTGATGGGAACAACACCATAATTGCTAGAATCATTTTTTTTTTTTAATGTTCAAGTATGTTGATTACATAGTTTTGTTTGAAATATCCTCTTCAAAAATGGGGCAAAAAGGTTCTTATTGATATGAAATAGTAAATTATGCTTTAAATATTTGGACAATGCATGACCTCACTTCTTACAAGCTAGTTTACAATTTGATGAATTTATTGCAGCAAGGATAACATGTACTCCTGCAACCAATGCTGGTCATATTTTGAGTTTTGTCATACCAGTTTTCTCGTTTTGTGTAGTTATTATTTATCATAAATTATTGAATAAGATTTATGCAAAGTTTAAAACCGATAATCGTGTGAATCATATTGAATCACAATGAATCGTAAATTGGATCTTGCGATTCACTCAATTTCCGATTCAACACCATGATTCCCATATTTCCAAAATAAATTTCAAACCAATGATGTAGTTTACTAACTTTAATAATTGAAATTATAAACTTTTCCAACACTTTGTAATTTTTTTTTTGGTCTTCCAACTGATTCATAATTTCCTCAAAATTTTAAGAATGCTGTGCAACATTTAAAGGCTTGCTTGCCAGCGTAATTGCTTCCTAGTGATGAAAATGAATAGGTGCAAAAAGTATGTTCAAGGGAAGTTTATTTGACATCTAGAATCATAAAATAGTACTGTTTTATTAATGCCATGTAACCTTTTTACTTATAACATTTCCAAATAATCCAGACTACCCAAAATTATGTACTCTGTTCAGGGGAAGTTTGTTTGACATCGAGAATCATATTTTAGTGGAATGTTGCACTTTATTTTTAGCTTAAATTTTTTGGTTCTGAGTTGAATTATGAAATGCTTTTTTTCAGGAGTGCTTTGACACTGATTTGGTGTGGGCATGCAGCTTCTATGGTGAATAGAGTATCATGCAATAGGAAACAGAGCGACTCCTCGGTGGATGTACTCACTTCAGATATAGCTATTGAGGTAATTGCTAATTGGCTTCTCTTCTAGCTGCGACATTTCATTTTGGAAGTTGTTTTTATTTTTTGCAAAATTTCTTTTGTTGTCATGTGAATTCCAGGTCAGCATTGAGATTCCTTTTGCATTTCAACCAATTCCCGTGCAAGCCATTGAATCAACCGACACTCAAGTACTAGAACAAATATTGAGGATTATGCTTCCTTGCTTTATGGCACAGGTTTGTGATTTAGATATTTTCCCCCTTTAAATCAAATTCAAGATGAAACTTGGTTCTTAGGAAATTTTGTCTTTACCTCACAAATTTGAATTTCTTTAGTCAATTTTAGTTACTTGAGGTTAAATGAATGTTGCAATTTGTCTCATATTTATATGATAAGCTGATTATGTTGAATTATATTTATGCTCTATAAGCCACTTGATTGAGTCATTTGCCACATAAAAACAGGATGGTTAGTCTTGTGCGCTTGACAGGTTTCATTTGACACCATTTCACAATAAACACGAATTGTATTTCATTTTTTGTGTTATAATAGACTTTTTCCACAGGTATTATTGGGTATCACACTTCCTGAATTAGATTTTGGATCACATGCAATGTTTGTAGGGTAAATAGGGATCAGACAATTAATGGAATGTGAATTTTACGAATCTGGGTGTTATAATGAGGGGAAAATGAAGCATTGGTTCTTTTTACCTGCTTGTTTACATACTATCACTTTTAGGGTAAATTATGTTCATTTCTGATATAAATATATGAAAAACTTATCGGCGTGTATGGTTCAAGAGTAAGGTTGTGGCCTCTGAGGTTGATTTATGATTTAAATAATTTTTTTTTCAATTATATATTTATTGGGTATATTGAACGGTAATGCTTTGTTGTATCATTGCAGAGCCAACATGATGAGTTGGAGGCAAAGTTTTTCGAGGAGAGAGCACCTTTGAAGCTAAATAGCAAAGCACACTCCATATTATTATTATTTTTTTTTTATTAAAATGAGAGTATTAGCAATTTTTATTTTTATTTTTTTGTATTAACATAATGTGATTTAAGGTTTTTGTTTTTGGTTATGGAAAATTGGAATACTGACTCATATTATGGTATATGTTTTGAAAATGGTGATGGATTATAGGTTGGTTGTTATTTATTATTATTTTATTTTATTTTATTTTATTTTTTGAGGAAAAAGGTTTGCTTTGAACAGAAGTTGAAAAATCATACATTTGATTTTTTTTTTGGAAAAAAAAGTAAAGGTGGCGTTTTTAAAAAATGTCGCAAAATGACGTCATAATTTCGTCATGTTAACTCCTCTGACGGAAATAGTAAACGGTTGTAAAGAATTGGTGATGCTGTTAAAAAACGTCGTCTAAAGTCTATAGTGGCATTTTCAAAACGCCACAAAGATATGACGGCGGCCGTATCAGCGACGAATTTTTAAAACGTCGTCTTATTTTTTGCGGAGTTTTTCACACTTTTTGCGGTGTTTTAAAAACGCCTCTAAATCTCGATTTTCCTGTAGTGAATTTAATATAATTTCACAAAGCTCCCCTCGTGATTAGGGCATATCCTCAAACAACTGTTAAAAAATTAATAGTATTTTATCCAGTCATCGAAACATAATTCTAGTAATCGTTAAATTTAGAGTTAATTATCTAAAAGTCTTATTTATAAATGTTATGGCAACTTAGGTCATATTTAAGATTTTTTCAACTAATAAATCATATTTAGTAAGACTGAGAATATTATCAGTTTTTTTTCAATTTTTAAAATTAAGAATATTATCGATTTTGCATAGTAATGCTCCAGATAATTATTTTACTATCTGATAAAAAAACAGAGAATGACATTAAATATTTTTGCCTTTCTACTTATTGGTTTGATTCAACTATCCAATAAAACTGAAAACATTATCAGTTTTTTCCAGTTTTAAAACTGAGAACATTATCAATTTTTTTATTTTAAAGTTTTTTTATTTTAAAGTTTTTTTATTTTTTTTGGCACATCAGTGTTCCATCATTATGTTCCTTTATAGACACAGAATTTTCAATTTTGCACAAAAAAATAATTCAAAATTTTCAAAACAAAACATTAGTTTTTTTTTTTCACATAATTTTCTTTTCGTTTTTTCAATTTGAAAGTTGATGTTTCAAAATTTTTGAAAATCAAAATAAATGTCAAAATCATCTTGTTCCTTTATAGATAATCATAAATGATGAACAATCATTGTTTGAAGGACAATTCTGACTATTAAAATTTTAATGGGACTTGAAGGTTCAAAATATCTTAGTTGGGACTTAATAGAGTATAAGTTCATAAATTAAGACTCGCACATAAATGATACTTAAATTTATCCTTTTTATTTAAGGTGGTGGTGTGGAGATTATGTGGTGGCTATGAAGTAGTGGTGTTAGTAATGAATGAGAAGAGTGATGTTTTAAAGTTTTTGAAAATTAAAATAAATATTAAATTATCATGTTTCTTTATAGATAATCATAAATGATAAATAATTAATGTTTGAAAGGTAATTCTGACTATTAAAAATTTAATAGGACTTGAAGATTCAAAAAATGTTAGCTGAGTAGAGTATAAGTTCATAAATTAAAATTCGTAAATAAATAACACTTAAATTTATCCTTTTTATTTAAGGTGGTGGCGTGGAGATTATGTGGTGGCTATGAAGTAGTGGTGTTGGTAATCAATGAGAAGAGTGTAAAGTGAGGGGGGAAAATTAATAATAATAATAACAAAATAAAATCCGAGTAGTAGTGTTTAAAATTAGAATTCCGAATGGCCATATACTCTAATGTAAAGGAGCCACAACTTCTTTTTGCATATCAAGATTCTGTCAACACCATCAAACCAACAGACTCAAATGTGAAAATTCAGAAGTAAACTCCCCTAACCGACACTTCCTCTTCCAAAGGCAACTTAGTAAACATTTCCTTCATGGATTCCAATTATGTATCGAAAACAAGAAAAATAATGCAGACAATTTCATTTGTGTAAAATATGAAGATTATGCTGGTAAACATAGAGCAAGATTGTGTAAAGAGTTGGAACAATTTCAGTACAAGCAGGATAATTATGCCAAATAGTTTTAGTTTATATTTTAAACTGGCGGTACAAACAGAGTAATTATGAAAATAAGACACATGATGAAATGAGGTTGGAGACTTTACTTAAAAGTTGACAATTGGCATGCTGTTGGAATATCCATCATAGTATCTGTGCTGTTATTACATATTATAATTGTCTCAATTTCCAATCTTATTTTTGGCCTTGTAACTTTGAAGAGATTTAAATTTTTATTCAAGCAGTTTTTCAACTTTATAACCTGAGTAATTCCTTCATATATGTAATCAGACCAATATCCAACATATGTACGACATTTCATTTTTGCTCATTGAGAGGGTAATTTTTGGGAAAATTGGGCCGAGCTTCGAGTTGGGTTTTGAGGCCCAAAACGCAGAGGACTAGGTAAAAAGGCCGTACAGAATACTCCGGCCTAGAGGGCAAGGTTACTCCGGCCTTGGGGAGACAAAGTTACTTCGGCCCAAGGAGGTGAGTTTATTCCGGCTCAAGAAGAGATAGTTGCTTCGGCCCAAGGAAGAGTAAGGCCTTGCACTGCTCAGCCTCGGCTGGTGGGTGTGTCTGCTCTTCCGCAACTTCATCCCCTGATAACTGAAGGTCAAGAAAGATCTCAAAGCCGGGCAAACGTCGCTTCTCTGAATTTAGCCCTGGCTCTGGAAAGCCACAAAATAGGAAGTCTTCCACCTCCAGGACAAAGCGTCTGTTCAGGGTGCCTTGGATAGGTCTGTCACTAACTTGTAGTGCTTCCCGACTTGCTTAGCCCTGGCTTTTCCGGCCATTTCCCTTCCTTTCCTTGCCCAATCCTCTTTGGTAGGCAGATAACCTAAACCAAAGGTATATGGGTGATGTGGCACTTCGGCCAATGTAGTGACGCCTTCTGGCCACTCCGTCCTAGTCCCATTCCAAGCATGTGTTGAAGTTTGTTCAAGAGGTAGACAGACTGTGCACTGACATATAATCCATCATTAACCGCTAGCATATCCTGTACAACCCGGGCCTTAGCTAAGGTGAATCCTGACAAAAACACATCCTCCACGCCGTGCTCAATCTCCAGAACTGGTTTAGAAACCTCTAGCAGTGGATGGATGGACGAGTTCCCAAAAACAATTGCCACCCCCTTCCCGTGGGGGTACTTCAGCATCTGTTGTAAGGTGGAAGAGACAACCCTCACCCGGTGCAACCAAGGTCACCCAAGGAGTGGATTGAAGGTGGCTAGAACATCCAAGACACGGAACTCAATGTCATGCTGCCTCGGGCAAATCTTAGTCTTGATCCATACGGTCCCCATCACCTCCCGACTAGTGTTATCATAGGCCCGAATTAACTGGGTTGTTGGCGCGAAATCTGCAGGCTTCAACCTGATAGCATACGTCATTCTCGATGGACATACATTGATTCCAGATGCTGTGTCAACCAGGACCATCGGTATCCATTTTTCTCTACACTCCACAGTGATATACAACGGCTTGTTGTGATCAGACCCCTTAGGCGGGAGTTCCTTGTCGCTGAAGGTCAAGGTCGGGGAAGGTCCATCCAGGAAAACCAACCCTACCAACTGCTCGGGTGTTGTATCAATTGAAAGCTTAGCCCTATCCATGGCTGTAAGGACGGCTTGTCTGTAGACACCGCATTTTTGACCGTCCTCAAGACTTGGACGTCACCGTTTGAACACCCGGTGATCATCCATGTTTGTGTTCATTTGGAGTTCCCAGAGGTCCCGGCTACACGCCTTGCCTCAGGATCTCCGAAATCGACTGTTTAGTGTCTGGTTTTGACACCAAACACTTGTGTTTTGCCTTGGAAGGGCAGGGAATGCCTTGTGACGCATCCCCACACATCACCGGCCATGGTCAGAGGCCACCGGCTGGTGTTTTGTTGCCATCGGCAATGTATATTGCCGGTCGGCATTCTTTGTTGCCGGTCGGCAGTACATTTTGTCAAAATGGCAATTTTGAGCAGCCGACTATTCATCTGCTTTTGCAGAAATTTTAATACAGTTGGCTTGCATTTTGTTCCCCTTCATACACGTGTATGGAGGGATGGCTTCCTTGTTAGCTTCTTGAGTAAGTTTTACAAGATTGGCTTCTCTGTAAGAGGAGCCCTCCCCTCTTGGCTTGAGGGTTGGAAAAAAAGAGGTTAGACATTTTAGACAGCCATTTTAGGGTTTGAGTTCTAGGGTTAGGGTTTCATACATATCCTATCTCTATATCTCTCTCTTGTGTGTGTTTAAGTGTATTTGTGTCTTATTATTGCACACAAACACATAGTGTTACACCTTTTCTTGGTTTCTTGAAGGACCAGAGGTTGTTCTTGAGGTTCTTGGGTGGTTTTGAGCTTGAAGAACCAGCTGGAGCTTCATTTGTGAAGAAGGTCTTCAAGGGTAAGAAGTGTGTCCCTTTATTGCCCATTTTTTGTATTGTATTTTTGCCTATCTTAGAACTATTTTTGAGCTTAGTGTATAATATAAAAAAGTTCTATTTTTAGGCCCTCTAAATAGTTTTTTTAGAGTGTTTTGTGGTTTGGAGGTGTTTGACCCCTCCTAAGCCTTGAGAGGCTCCATTTTGTGCTATTTTGTGTAAGCTTCAAGACCTTGGTATTTGGGCCTCCTCACCACTGAAATCTTGAGGGATTTCAGAGGTGAGGATGGTGCCTTGAGGTCCCAAGAAGGAGAGGGTCACCCCCTCTCCTTGTTGTCCTTGAAAAGGGCCATTTTGGCCTCTTTAATGAGCACCTAGTTAAGCCTCATGTTGACCATGTCTTGGCTGTCATTTATGCCTATTTTGCCATGAAATAGCATTGTTGTATGTTGGTTTTGGTACACCATGCATGCTTAGCATACCTACCTTGTAATGCCATGTTTAGGCCTTAACATGCCTTAGGTTGTAAACCATTGTTCAAGCATGTTTTAGGTCTAGCTTTGTGAAGCTTTTGTGCTTATTTTGCCATGCTAGAGGTCTATCCTTAGTCATTTTGGTCGGCCATGGCATGTTTAGTATAGCCCCTTTGCATTTTGGCTTGTTGGCCGTAAGTGTGTGAGGGTGTGGCATGCATTACTTGCTTTATTTTAATG